TGATGGTACGAACCGCCCCGTGGAGTGTGGGAACTTGCCGCATGACGACGATCGGAATCATCATTATGGTGGTGATGGGAATCACCCCGCCTCACACTTTTGTGGGAGTGCTCGCACGATGTGGCATGGGACAACTCGGGTTGCGGCATGTCACCGAGTCTTTGCGCCATGGGTATTCTACCCAAGGTACAGTCGGTGTTCGTTGGTCCATCGGAGCCTATAGGCCTATTGTTCGCCACTTGCTTACCCTTCATTTGATGCATTATAGTGCGCGCGGCACAGGCTATCGCCGTTTTCAATGCTTTCATGCGACATGCAGGTGTTTTAGGTGGTGGTACCGCCTCATTTGATTCGGGTGGTGCAACCCGGTCCAAACGGTTCAACCTTTGGTTGACCGTTTGGAGAGTATTATTGAACCTCTCCAGGTAGCTCATGCCGACTGGATCAAGCTGTGAGCTTGAAGGAATATCCCCCACGAGATTTTGCGGAACTCCCTCTTGCACCTAGGGGACTTCTTCCTCACCATGATTGGGTTGCTCAAATTCGAATCTTCGAGCCATTTACTGCTGTAGGACCAGTTAGTTAGAGATTCTCCTGATGAAGGACGAATACTGAATCAGGCCCTTCTTCTAACGCCAAACTGCGGATGCTTGATTTTGACACCAACTAAACGCGCGTGTGAAATGCTGAGCTGACTCAGAAGACACACGCGAATGGGGGTATGAGAATGGATAAGAAATAGAGAACAATGTTTAAAGTGGTTCGGATGCTTAAACAAGCGACTCCTATGTCCACTGATATTGTATTAATATACTGAGGTTAAGTCGCGTTTATCGAGCTGATCTACAAGTGATTACAAAGAGAAAATGAGTATGCTATTCTAGAGAGAATTTAGCTAATCCCACAAACGGGAGAGGAGCCCTCTATTTATAGTGGGAAAAATTGAGGTAATGATTACTAAATTAGGAAGTGGGTCAGATTGCCGTCCAAACCTTGCACCCCGTTATTCACTTGTTCAAGTGATTTGCTCGATTCTTGCAAGGATTGGACACATGGATCACCTCCAACCTTTCACCAGCCTGATGCACACCTACTGCACTGGCAGGAGCACGCCTCTTGCGTCAGCTTACGACGTGACTGCATCTAAACGGCTGCTGGACTTACCTAAACTCTGACCACTTATACTGACAGGGCTCTGCGTCAGCCCTACTTTTCCAAGCATAACAATAACATTCAATATAAACTCATTGCAAATATATTTGTAAATGTGATATTTCATCTTAAGAGTAAAGGCTTGAAAATCTGTGTTAAATCTGTAATTTGAGAAAGATTCAATTCAAGTATCCAACTTCTGAGTAACACTTTGCCACTCTCATTTATTAATTTAATTCACAGCGCGGTTCTCTCCAGTCTCCACTCTGAAGCTTTGCCATCTTAGTGCCTGAAGTATTAAACCCCGCGCGCTCACAAGTCTCTGTTTTCTGTTATCCACTTCATTAAACCCACGCGCTCACAACTATACATCGATCAAATTTACCCTAGACACTAGACACAAGCCCCATCAAATTGAAATATCAATATTTATCTGTCTGCTCACGTGCTCTACAAGCGCGTCTTCTGTTCTGTTTTACCCAAATCAGTTGTCTTTTGATTCTGTTTTACCCAAATCAGTTGTCTTTTGATTCTGTTTTACGTGCGGCCGCATGAGCAGTTATAAACACAATTAATTAATTATTATTATGCGATTTGGTTTTATTCTCAATTTTCATTTTTATTCATTAATTCATATTACCGATTTGTAGGAGGCAGCAAAATCATGTTATTTAAACGACGCTGCAAAAATGATGCATTTGGGCAGACAAGCACTATATCTATATCTACTAACACAAATCAGTGAAATCACATCTATCTCTCCAGCCCCATACACACACACACTTAGACTAACACTAACAGTAACCTTGAAGAAGAGCTGAAGACGAATATGGCTTCACTGGACGAAAAGGAAGCCGGTCATGAACTCTCATTTGAGATTCTTGCAAACAAGAACGTCTCATTGGAACCTTCCAAGAACGGCCACTGCTTGGCTGAGCTTAAGAGTAGCGGGGTGCTCAACTGGGGTAATAGGAAGAAATTTCTGTTCCTCAGAAATGATGAGACGGAGAAACTAGACGGTGAAGAAGAAGATGTGAAGTTAGATCGGTCACCTGAGGAGATGAAGGAGAATCAGAAGAGAAAGCGCGCGGCGCACGTGTTTATTACTGGCTGTGAGAAGAAGAGGATGAAGAAGAAGAAAGGGACAAAGAACTTTAGTTCTAGATGGTCGAAAGAGAGGTATCAAATAGCCGAACTTAATATGTTGAAGATATTGAAAGAGAAAGAAGCGGTGTTTGGGAAGCCGATATTGAGGCTGGCATTGAGATTGGAGGCGAGGAAACTGATTGGGGATACCGGTCTGTTGGATCATTTGTTGAAACACATGGCGGGGAAGGTGGCGCCAGGAGGACGAGAGAGGTTTCGAAGGAGACACAACGCCGACGGAGCTATGGAGTACTGGTTGGAGAGTGCTGATTTGGTTAATATTCGAAAAGAGGCAGGAGTTGAGGATCCTTATTGGATTCCACCGCCTGGTTGGAGCCTTGGTGATAATCCGATTCAGGATCCTGTTTGTGCCATGGAGTTCAAGCTGCTCAAGGAAGTCATGGCCAAAATGGAAAGGTTACTACGTGCCTGAGGCTTGTTAATTTCCTTATAACAAATTGATGTTGAATAATACTGATATATATCTGTATTTTGTTTGGAAATCTACAGGAACATGCAGGAGCTCTTGTTAAAGAAGCAAGAGGATGATGTGGCTGTTGTGAACACTCCAAGTTCTTGTAATACGAGTCAGAACTTTGATCATGACAACTTCTTGCTTCCATTGAAGGTAAATGATTAACTGGTGAACAGGGGATTTGATCCCCAGAGTGTTGTTAATCTAACTCTTTCGGTGTTTGTTGGATTGTTTTGGCAGGAGATTTATACAGATTTGGTGAATAAGAAAGCTAAGATTGAAGGACAAATGATGGAAGTTTCACGTTCTCTTTGTGGAATGGAGGTATTCAATTATTAAACCTTCAATTACTGAGTTTCCTTTTATTTCTGATATGTTTATCTGCTTTTGAATCTTTGTCCGACAATTGAAAACATGTGGTGATTAATGGTACATTAATTAATGCTCGACATGATTAACAAACATTTGTTAGTATTGATTAGCTAATAGTTTAGTGATGATTGGGTATTTATGATATGTCTATTTAAAGCTTTAACTAATTCCATACATGAAATTACATAAATTAATGGTAATCATGCAGGTTCTAATGGAGAACCTAAAATCATCCGTGGAGGAAACAAACAAATCAAAATCAACCCCAGCACCGTTACTACAAATGGGATCAACAATATCACCTGCGGCTACAACAAAAGTAATAATACCAGAAGACAAAACCACCAAAATAAAAAGACTGAAGAGCAGTTTCAAGATATGCAAGCCCCAGGGGAGTTTTATGTGGCGAGACATGACAATATCGGTTAAGGATGTAATCCCTCTTGAAGATCTCATTATGGTCCCAACACCTCCCTCAGTTTCCTCTTCCTCCACCTCACCACCACACTTCCTTCTCTCTCCCGACCTTCCCCAAATGGAAAACCATTCAATATCCCTAGTCAAGCCACGACCTGAGAAGCGTCCCCTTGCTGTCACTTTGAGTGATCATTCTCTTCCTCCTGAAACCACCACCACCCAGACCCAGTTTGTAAAAAATAAAACTACTGCTGTTACCATCAATACCAACACTAAAACTTCTCTTATTAACCTCAATGTGGTTCCCAACAACCAAAATGAGACGATCACCACTGCTGTTTCATTTGTATGTATAACTTCATCGGCTATCTCAATTTCATTTTTATCATCAATTTTTTTGCTATGTATTGAAGATATTATATATTAAAGTTGGCATGCTTTTTGTTACAGTTGCAACTTGAAAAGCAAGAGGATGCTACGAGGCAAACCATGGGAGGTGAAAGAAAGGAAATATTAATGGAGTGTGAGAAGAAGAGAAGGGGATGCTCCTCAACTTCATCATCTCCTTGGCTGGCTCTAGCCACCCCAAATCCACTTTTGCATAAACGGGGTTGAACATTTACTGTTATCATCATCATCATGACCACACAGTTTATATTTATATTTGTTGTTTTAACAAGTAAAGAATAATAATTTGGCTCTTATATTTAGAGATAACATGCATGCAAGATGATTTTTCAATTTTAGAATTTTGATCTTATTCTTGAAAAAGGTTAAAAGGATACAGTTTGCCCTTTAAGATTTACTTATGTAAGACAAGACATAAAGAACAAATTGAAATTATTTGAAGAATGTGAATGTACTTCTCTTATTGGAAGATACTCTTTCAAGTAATTAGTTTACTTTTTTTAAAATCTTATCCAAAATAATGAAACAAACACACCCTATTGAATGCTATTTTATATTATTATTATCTTGAAAATGATTTCTGCCCGTTATCAATAATTACAAGCAATAATGTTATCCTTACTCACAAACTTACTAACCACCTTACTCACCTTTGTTAAAATTACATATGATACCCGTACTATGTTTATGGTACCCTTACTATGCTTCATATTTACTAAAGTGAGTAAGGTGATTAGTAAGTTCGTGAATAAGTTCGTGAGTAAGGATAACATTATTGAATTACAAGCAAGTGATGCAATACCCAAATTGAAACGGCAAGAAATTTAGATTTATATTGTCAAAATTGCTCTACTTAAGGATATATACGATGACTAGGGGGTCAGGCCTATCATGATCATCTACTTAAGTTACCTTGAATTATAGATTACAACAAACCTTTGTAACCCAAAAAGATCAAATTCTATAGCTTACAATATACATTTGAACTATTGCTGGGAATGTCTTCAATGTTGTGCAGTCGTGAGCTTCTTTATACATCTGTAGTATGCACTGCAGTTAGAGTTACTTGTAATCTGAAAAAGTAAAAGAAAAGTAAGCGATCAGCAAAACATTTTGATACAAAAATATTACAATATAACTGACAATGTTGATAGACATCAACCCAAGTTGGTCCAATCTTCAACAACATATAGAACATATTATGAATCTCCGTGGATTTCTTTAATAAGTTCTCAGTTTTCTAGACATATTTCCAGTATGTTCTATTTTTGGTATGTTAGTTGATGGATGAACAACTTTGTTAAACTGAATACTGAACATGATCTAACTCTAACACAAGCCATTGCCAGGTAGTTCAGTGTGTGAGACAGGAGACTAAAGGAATCTGCGGTATATTGTTAACCCAACACACGTTTTGCATATGTTTAAAAGCTACATGTACCATTATAAGTTACAATAAAGTATTTCCACCATGCATTGTTTACGAGGATCTAAATAGACAATTTTGGTTCAGCCACTGGCAAACCAAAATTGTTCTACATATGAAAAGTTGTCTCACAATATCAACAACCGTTTTAGGCATATTAGAGGGAACACTTGGGAAATACAAGGAGTGAACATTATAGGAAAGTTGGAAAGACTCATGCGACTGAAACTAAGTTAGACATGTTAACAGAAAGTACAAAAAGTATTATAAAGGAACTGCAACAAACCTGCATGAGTTGGAAGGTATTGTTGGCAGTCTGATTGTAGTCACATGGAAACCAGATTCTAAGAGATGCCTGCTCCATAAAATTGAAACCGTATGAAGCTGTTGTAACCATGGCTTTAAGCACACAAACCAGAAAGAGCTGAGAGAGAAGAGAGGAGATACCTGCTAGCTAGGAGGGCCTTCTCTTCACTCCCTACAATAAGAGATATAATGGGACTTGAGATTCGGATTCAAGTGAGAGCATGAAGGTCTTGAACCCGGTTCCAAATAGCCCTTCTACGCCATGTTTCCTATTTTGCCACAATAACAGCAGCTGCTAAGTCATACTTGCTTTATCAACAACCGAAAATACCACAACAAGAGGTAATGGCTAGTAGCATAAGATGCCCTGAGACATCATAAAATACAGTTCTTTCAACGTAAAGGATTTACTCATTTTTATCTTTTTACCATTTTGTAAGGGGACAATTGAACCACAAACAGACTCTTCATGCAACATTTCCTGCCCCCGAACCAAACTCAATTTGGAATAACTGTTCAGCTCTCTGTCATGGGAACTCACATATAGTGGCAAAACTGGTTATACCACAACAATTCATCATACGATTGTTTTACCTTTTAAAACATCTATTTACATTCCATAAGTGCTAGTACTCATTAATGGGAAACTAACTAAGACAATCCAAGAAATGTTATGCCACTAATTTTCTTTAAATAAAGTCAAGGAAAAGTATTGACTGTACCATGTACTGCAGCAGCAATGAGAATTGATGCAGAAGTTGAAAATATAAAAGAACGACCCCTAGATTGTATGAACTGCTTCCTCCTTTTGCTGTATAGAAACATTCAGAATAGCTGTAAGTATTATACATATCAAAACTATCATCATATAAATATATTACATATGCACATAAGATGCTCTTTATAGCAAACAAGAAAATAGAAATCATAAAATGCATCAGTAGCTATTTTGTGCGAAAATCAATAACTTTCAAGCTATGTCCCACCAAAAGAAAAAAATAGCTTCATCAATCCGCAAAGAAGCAATCAAAACCAAAATTTTGAAAGTAGATATCTTTTATTGTTTGTATCAAAGAAACGAATTATGTTCCTTCATCCTTGATCCTACAAAAACCTTCAATACTTTTACTCTCAAGCTAAAATGGCTTCTGCTTTTGTTGAGATACCAACAATGGAAACATGTAAACTTAAATTGGGGAAACTCGTGAAATTTTTGTTAAGCATTAAATTCAAAGTCGTTCTTTCTAAGCAATTTTATTGCACTTGTTTCTGTAATAGTTTAACACCGGATGTCTGTAGACACTGCAACAATATGCTAGGCGATTCTTCAATCACCAAAAGCGAAAATTAAAGAGAAAATTTCGAAGGAAATCCAACGAAGTGCTAAAATAACCTTGTCGTAGGCCTACATTTGAGCAAAAAAGCACAATGTAAGGGAATTGTTCTGCTTTCTGTTCTTAACAGAACAAAAAGGGCCAGGTTCTTGTAATTACCTGCATGATATGAAACCACCATGATAACCTGCCGCCTTACTCAGAGTGCCAATGCATATGTCTATATCTCTTTCGCAATTGAATTCCTCGGCCACTCCCCCACCACTTTTGCCACGGAAAAATGTTCCATGAGCCTGAAAATAGTTAAGGAATAGTTACTTGGTGCTAGCATACACCTGCAGCTAATTTATGAAGAAGATACCATCTTTCCCTATGCCATACACTATAAAATTTTGGACAAGCTTTTTAGCATATGAAAGAGAGGAAAGAGAATGTATATATCAACTGAAAAATGATTTATTGAAGAATCAATATAATTAGAATAGTTTTTGAAAAACTAAAATGTTAAGACCCTTTTATGTAGCATAATTTAAAGGCTTTAAGTGTGCAAGAAATAAATGAGTATGTAGTCCAATTCCTCAACAAGTGTCATGTAAGACACAAACTCAACAGTTTCTTCAAGTGCTAAATACTTGAACATTTTCTTTTATGCCTAGAAATTCCCCAACCTTTCATAAATCTTCATGAATTTTAAACTGGGGATTACAAGAAACTTATTGGATGTATCCAAGTAAGTGCTTTGGGGAGTGTTTTACCCCTAACCTCTGGGTTGATTCCAAAAGTCTATACCGCTTAACCTAACCCTTGAAGTCAAATAAGTTGAAAATAAACTAAAAAAAAAAGTGTAGAAGATTGGACCATCAAGACAACTTACATCATCTAAGACTAACAAAAAGCCATACTTCTTCCGAAGCTTCACGAGTTCAACCATTGGTGCAAAGTCTCCATCCAAACTAAACAAGCTGCAGAAAGAAGAGAATTAAGCACATCGTCAAGAAAATATGCCAGTAGTTAAAACATCAGGATTTTCAGCAGTAAAAACATTAAAAAAAATAAATAAATAACACAACATATAAACATAGTAAGACCAGCAATCTGTCAAACATATGGTATATTACCAAAACACCTAGCAAATATTTCCAAAAGACTCGTTGAAGTCACTCAGAGGACAGTGAACCACAGAGTAGTAAGGTTTCGTAGACCAGATGCAAAATATCCAAGGTATACACTCATAAATGGTGTCAGCCATGTATATGAAGTTTACAATCTTATTAGGAGATCTAACAGAAGTAGCTTCTTGAACTGCCTAGAGCATGTGGTGGTTTTACCATTAGCTACTCCATCTCTAGAGACAATCTCATCTCCTGTAAATCCAAAAAGAAACGGTTAAGTGTCAAATAAAGTACTAAGCCATGTCTCCACTCATATTGTTAATAGCCCTGTCCAATTAAAATCCAAGGAGCGACACAAGTGCATAAATCGTTCACCAATAACTATATGGCAATGTTTGGTAAGCCACATTGTCCTGTAGCATTTGCAATACTATAATGAATATTATATTGGGTATATTTTAATCATAAAGTATTTTTTGATTAAGTTTAATAAATTTTACAACCTAAACCTTTTGTTCAGAATTATGTATATACATTAAGTATACAGGGTATTAATTAATAAAATATGTATTAATTTATTCACTATGAATATGATACGGGGCCACTGTACAATCCTACAAAACGTTAACTAAAATCTTGGCAATATCATCCCTAAAAAACAATGGATAAAAAGAAGCAAAACCAAGTATAATGAAAACCACATAAAACTATCATTAAAACCAATCAATATAAGACAAAGAAAGCGAGCAAAAGTACCAGAACTAGGAATGTCATGGAGCCATCTGTGAAAGGTGGAGTCAGAGATTGATATTTCAACGGCAGATCGATCCTAGGGTTGCATTTCATCGAACCCCTCGTAATCATCGTCACGTTCTTCGATGGGTGGAGACTGGAGATTGTTCTTTCTGTAGTTCATTAAATGGGCCTTAGAAAGCGAAGCACTTTTTAAATTTGAAGCTTTGAGAGTGCTGCTTCGACCCAGTGGTCCCACTCCCACAAGTTCGTCTCCATTTCGCAAAATACGATGAATGAAGAACGAAGGGGACGGAACAGAGACAGGGTTTAAGAATTAGAGATGAGCATAGTTGGAGTTGGCTGCTATTTACTCGACTGTCAAAGACGAAGTGGGTAACTGCAAGTTGGGCTGAGTCCGCGTCCGGGTCAGGGTCGGCGCAAGTTAATGTGGAGTCAAATGTTCTCACTTTGCCATGTTTGACTTGGTTTCTAGAGGTTCATATTTTGGTTCAATAATGTTTAATTGATTTTAAATTAGTAATAAGAAGGGTTTATCCGTCAATACGATGTATTGTCACATCCGTTTATAAGAAATAAATTGTATCAGATCATTAAATAGTTTAATTATTTAAACTTTTTTATTAGTTAAATAAAAAATTACCCAAATTTAATAAACATTTTAAGTAAGACCTCTTATATTATTATTATTATTTTAATTTTATCTCTGTCTTTATCACCAAATAACACAAAATCCTTATCCTCAATATACAATTGAAAAAAAAAAAAAAAAATCTTATTTAAGATTAAAATGTAGTAATTATTGTGGTTTTTGTTTTTAGATGATATAATATTAAAAAACATAAAATGTCGAAAATGTATTTTGTGTACAACGAAAACAAGAAAAGTTGTGTTAATTCAAATGGAGTTGAAAATTCGAATATAATGAACAAACTCGAGCACGATTAAATAAATTGAAGTGCTCGAGTGTTGTAATACCCTTGCTCGAAGTGTAGCATTATTTAATATTAATAAAAAGTATAAGAGACATATTTGATAATACGTTAGGGGGTTTTGGGTACAACGTCGATACAGTTCCTGTATAAAATCATATAAGCCCTTTTATCATTTCTTAAAATCATTTATTTATTTATTAATTTTTGTGACTGGAGTGTCTAAGTCAGCTTGCGTATATATCGACTAATCTTAAGATTTACTGAACACCCTACTTTTGAGAGCAGGTTGTTCGAGTCAACTTATGTGCATCTCGACTAATCATCGGTAACTAATCTCCGAGATTCATTGAACACCCTACTTTTGTAACTAAGTTGTTCAAATCAGCTTGTTTGCGCCTTAACTAATCCTTAAGATTCATTGCACAATAAACACCTTACAAGAGTAATGCGCCAAAGAAGTCATAAATGTGGTAAGTGATTACTTGGTGAGAGTCGAACACAAAACCTTTAAATAACATAAATTCTCGCTATCCAACTACATCCAATTGGTTAACATTTATACTTTATTGGAAGAAGGTGAAATCGTGTTGGAGTTTATCAATATTTCCTGAAGAGTTAACATTTCAAATATTTATTTTTTTTATTTACACAATCATGAGTTATTATAAATGTTATGTCAACCGAGTTAACACTTTATTATAAGGAAAATGATACAGTTATCGAAAGTAACGCATCGAATTCATGCACCGAATGACGTGACAAAATCCTGACTATCGATTAATATTAACTTATAATTAATCGACGGTCAGGATTGCGTCACGTCATTCGATGCATAAATTTGGTACACTACTTTCAATAACTGTAACATTACTCTTACTATAAATATTCATCAAAATCGAAGGTGAGGGTTTCCATGTGTTTGAATATATAGGATCTCGGAGTTGCAGCAAACTGCACAATCTTGTGTAACAAGGTCTAGATGATAACAGCAAACTCATTAATGGTAACACAATTCTTTTTCTTTATCTCGCATTTTGCTATATCTCTTGATACTATTACGAAGCTTCATACATTGCCTGTAGTTGTGGTTTTGACTTTTGAATGCTGCCTGCTAATGCAACTTTGCCCTCCGTAAACATCTATGAGACAATACATATATATTAGCAGCTACACGTTGTTAATTATATATAACAAGGTTTTATTCTTTTTGTAATCAATTAAATTGTACTTTAATGGATATTCTTCTACTTCCTTTTGTTTAATCAAGTCACATGGCATGTCTATTGCTGTATTGTTGCTACATCCTCCCCGCCTATCGCCTGAATTCATTTCTGCCATTGTCAATCTCAAAATGCATATGCTTTCCACAAAAAACCATACACTATTATTCCATAAATGATCAACTAATTGCCAATTGCCTTAATTTATATATTAAGGCAGGATATCTCTTCAAAGCATCTCCAACCCAACGCCATTTTGGTGTAAATGTGTGGAAAATGTGCTTCAACCCAACACCAAAAACTACACCAAATCGGTATAAGTGAACAGTGTCACTTCAAATTTGGTGTAACACTATTCATCCACACCAATTTGGTGTAGCACTCTTTATCTACTATAAAATATATTTTATTTTCTTATTTTTGTTATTTGTATTTATGTTAATTTGATTATTATTTATATTTATATTTATAATAATAAATTCATAATAATTATATAATTCAAAAAATGAAGAAAAATTAAAAACAAAAATTTATTCAATATAAATATTAAACTACAATAACTCAAAATAAAAATTAACATTAATTTAAAAACATTAAAATTAAAAAAAAAATACAACATAAACTAAAATAACAATTTAATATTCTGATAGATTAGTTTTGGATCCTCTAAGATCATCAAAAGATTGAAAAGAACTAGAGTTATTTTGAAATATTTGACCTTGTTGTTAAGCTTTTTTTTTTTTTTTTTTTTTTTCATAATTCCAGAGACAATACATATATATTAGCAGCCACAGGTTGTTAATTATATATTTTGCAGGATATCTCTTCAATAATCTTAATTCTTGTATGATGTACTTGGTTCTCTGTTACTAATATCAATGTCAAATTGGTACGGAACTAGCAGCAACCGTATGTAGATCTAACATGCATGATCCATGATATTAATTATTTCTAAATAAGCATTACTCAATATTTTTCCACAGTGGATCTGACCAGAAAATGTCAGATCAATACACTAGAGGTCAGATCTAATCGGTAGTGCATCATCACGGTAGATTTCGGCCATCTTCCGATGGTAGTGACCAAAATCTAGTAAACGTGGGTAGATGGGGGTGTTTTTATCAATTTATAAACTTTTATTGTTGAGGGTGTTTAGTTAAATTAATAAACCTAAGGGGTTAAAAATAATCTGAATATTTTGAGCTGCATAAAATATGACTGAATTTCAAGAATATTGAAATAAATGCATTTTTAGGTTTTTAGGATAGGATAGTGGGAAAGTAGTGAAACAAACGGAGTTAATTTCCTTTCATGATGGTGAAATTTAGGAACTAAATAGAGACCGTTAAAAATATCTTTTAATTGTATAACTTCAAATAGTTGTGATATGCCTAAAGAATGCAAGGCTGACGTAAGGTCCAATCAGCATGCAAAAGTCAGAGCATGGGTACACCCATAGCCGAGTCACATGAGGAAAGAAGCAACATGCTCCTGTCAGTGCAGTGGGTGCGCGCCAGACCAGCCAGGAGCTGGAAAGCTTCCACATGTCCGAATTCCTGCACCAAATTGCATAAATCACTCTATAAGGTGGGCAATGGGACGTAAAGGAAGATTTGTACGGATAATCCCACCAACTCACAGATTTAGTAATCATAATCTTAATCCATCCCACTATAAATTGAGGGTTCCACTCTCATTTTGAGGATTAGCTACTCTCTCTCAAGAATATATAGCATCTTCTCTCTTGTACAATCATTTGTAAGTCAGTCCGCTAAAGCGACCTGACCTCTATCATTAATACAAAAATCAGTGGACGTAGGACTTGCTTCCTTAGCATCCGAACCACTTTAAACGCTTTTTCCCATTGCGTTTACTCTCATTTTTTTTACATTCACGTGTGTCTTCTAGGCCTGCTCAGCATTTCACTCGTGCGTTTGGTTGGTGTCAAAATCCCGCATCAACAGTTTGGCGCTAGAAGGAGGGCTGATTTAGTGTTCATCCTTCATCAGGAGAATCTCTAACTTACTGGTCCTACAACAGCAAATGGCTCGCCAACCTAAACCTAAGCGAACCAATCGGGGGGCTGAAGAGATCCCCCAAGTCTAGGAGGACACCTCTACCGAGGTGCCTTCGGTACTGCAAAATATCGCAAGAGATATCCCGTCAAGTTCACAACTTGACCCTGCCATTAGAAGCTACCTGGAGAGGTTCGACAATACCCTCCAGACGGTCAACCGAAGGTTGGACCGTTTAGACTAGGGCGTGCCACCCAAATCAGCTTGGGTGGTGGAACCGCTAAAAACGCCTGCAGGTCGCGCGAAAGCACGACAAATTGAGATAGCCCATGCCGCGAGCACTGTAGCGCATCGAAAAAAGGGTAAGCAAGTGGCAAAAAACGGGCCTAAGGGCTCCAAAGGGTCGGCAAACACCGACCACGTCCTGACTAGAATACCAGTGGCGTTAAGACTCGGTGAAAGGATGCAACCCGAGCCGTCCCATGCCACGTCGCATATACACCCCTATAAAAGTGTTGGGCGAGGCGATTCTTATCACCGCCAGTAAAACGACCTTAATCTCATCATGCGGGAGGTTCCTACATTTCGCAGGGAGGTTCCTACCACCGCAAAGGTCGTGACAATTCCCCGAACCATTCATCGCCATCACACTGCTCTAGCCAGCGTGTGTCAAGGGCGGCTGGAACTGCCGGCCGCCTCCGGCTGAGGTGAAGCGGAATCCAACCTCTAGACTTTTCTCAACTGCAATCACAAGGGTCGGGCTTGCATGGGAGAAAACAATCCCTAGATAGCTCCGCTGCCTCAGATTGAGGAGTTATAGCGGGCTATAGACCAACTAAGAGCTCAACAAGACAAGCAGGGGCAGATCGCGTCCGCATCCCCTTTTTCTCCGGTAGTGTCAGCCGCCCCACTCCCATCAAGATTTAGAATGCCCGACATGCGGGCGTTCGATGGAGATTCTGATCCGCAGGATCATTTATATGAATTCAACGACCTAATGGAGCTTCACCAGGTCTCAGATCCAGCAAAGTGCCGTTGTTTGGCAGTAACTCTGACCTCTCATGCCAAACGATGGTTCAGGTCACTCCCAGCGGGATCGATCAGCTCGTGGCCTCAAATGAGCGCGACATTCTTGAGGCATTTCCAAGCAAATCGAAAGTTTTTGATGCCTTTGAGCTACCTCAGCAACATAAGGTAAGAGAGGGATGAATCCCTCTAATCGTACATCGATCGATT